GAATTTACCCCTTTTGCCCTAAAAAGTTCCAAAACTATAAATACTCTTTCATGCATCATCCCTAACTTGTTAAAAACCATACAATTAGCCTATTTCTCTCTTCATCTTCAACCTCCAATATATGCATACACAATAACATTACATTATAACAATGTTCCTTTGGGGTTCCATCTAGACGAGGATTGCTAGTGTCCAATTGTGTATTGGATGGAGTTTTGTAGGGGTTTTAATCCCGGAAAAACCTCAGGTTTATCCTCCAAGATCATTGGTTGATTTGGGGTTTTTCGTATAAGACGTTTGAGAGGTAATTGCATAACCTTGGAGTGCTTAAAATCTTTGCAAGGAATCTTAGAGTGTTTGAAATCTTTGCAAGGAAGTAACTTGGAGTACCAGATAGAATCGAAGTCTCGTGTTGCAATATTTTGAAATTTACGGTGCCCAAAATATTTGGAGATAAAGAACTCAAAGGAGTAGTAAGATCCAGATAATCATTTTTCATCTATTGTGTTTTTGGTCTCTCTCAAGATCAAAAATGGAGAAGGGGTTGAATCAACAACAAGCTTAGGGTTTATGGAGTTGCTCTTGAATACTTCTCTTGTATCAACAATTTTGCATAGTAAGAATTATTCTAACTCCATTATAATTAGGCGCAGACGTACCCACACGCGAGGACGACAATGGAGAACTATGAAGACAAATTCCTCGTGTCACTTTTATTTTTTGCTTTTTACTCGCTTTGACATTCATTGATCAATTTGTCAAATAATATTGCGTTATCATTTGAATTGTAAGAATTTTCCTAATCAATTTTGATTTTACCTCAAGTTTTGATATAGCTTATAATCACTTTTGATTATAAGTGATTTTGTATATCAACACAACCTAAGGAAAAATTCTGAAAATTCACTTGCACATCAAGTGTTTGATGAATTGACTAAACTAGTTCTTTTAATATTACCATTGGAAATAGCCTTACTAAGTGAAGTTGATTAAATGATAAATAAGTACCAAGTGATTCAATCTTATCAACTCTATTATCATTCATATTCCATATTCAATTCTTGTTTTACGGTTTGCATATCCGAGATTCCCAATAACGCTCGTATAGACGACAATTTGAAAAAGTTTCTGCGTCGTACTTTGATAAACTTTTTCAAAAACCAAATTTATTTGGAATTTTTAGAAGAGATATCTATTCACCCCCTCCCCTCTAGATACGTTGTCGTCATCTAACAAGGGACGACACCGAGGGAAATTGGATTTCCACCAAGATAGTCCCAAATATGAAGATGAAGAGTTTAAACCACAATTGAAGTTGACCTCCCTTACAAAATATGATATGGTTTTGAGAGGAACTAGGACAACCATTAAGGGTTAGCATTAAATGTTCTCTTATGTTACTGTAAAAGAAGAAATAATGCATTTCCAAGGCAACTACCACTCTACCGGTCATCTAGATGATGATGAATAAACATATTGGCAAATGAATTTATGAAATTATTAAAATATTACTTTTATTTTTTGATCAATTATTAGGCCATTATTTTACTGAAAAATGATAATGTTCTATCTGTCTCTAACTAATATATAACTATCTCATTTTAGTTCACTTAAAGGATTAAGCTCGAAAAAAATCCTAAGGACATTTTGTGTGAAACATTTGAGAAAGTGTATCCATGATTATAGGTTTAACGTTTGAATTTAGAGCAATTGGATAGAAATTCTAAGAAGTGAAATGCATAATTTCTTGGAAGGATAAAATAAATGAAGAAAGATAGTAAAAGAAATCAAGTAAAAATGCTTAAATTAAAAGTGGAACACAAGTTCATACAATTCTCACAAATGCTTTATCTCTATGACTTGGATGTGTGAATTCTAAAGAGAGTAGAATGAAAATGTGAACCCCTGTCCCATATAAGAAATCTACTTATATGTTATGTACATCAATAACTGTAAAAAACAATTACTTCCATATGATTCGACACATATCTTGTTACACGGGCTTTAGTTTTCTAATATGTTTCCATGTGTCTTTGATTCTTGAACTGCCTCAAACTGCTCGCATTGTCAAAAATCTCTTCAAATCCTCTAACTACCTCTGTCAAAAAGTTCTCCTATAGAATCTTGTGGTCTGGTGTTGAAATGCCTCTAAGTCATCCAACCCTTAGATTCAAGAATACCCTAAGTCCTAAAACACTTGGTAGACGAGTTGAACTCATCACCTTTGATAGGTGGGCCGAATCCATCACCTTTGTCAAAATGATTAATATGTCGAAACTATAACTTGGTCATCATACACTCAAAATTTTCATACCTTTACACCGCACCTTCATATCAATACTCCAAGTTAAAATTCTTAGGCTAACAACGCCCTGGAATAATTTTCCCTCAAGGCTTCACAATTGTGTAGTAATGTGAAGGTTTGAGATTATTGAACTGCCATCGTTTGTTGCCTTGAACTTCTTGGAGGGCTCGCATTGTTTTTAATTATAAACATTTTAAGAATATTAACTTTTGACCATGCTTTATAGTCGGTGTTGTTTTTCCTTCCTTGTGTGTATGATTTCAATTCATCATTTATCTTTAAGGATTTATTTTCATCATTAAGTGTCTTGAATGTTTTTATTCAGCATTGTGTGTTGCTAGTGGTTTTGTTTCATCATATATCTCCTTGAATGATTTTATTTCATCATTTTATGGCTTCAATGATTTTATATCATTACTATACGTTACCAATGATTTTGTTTGATCATTTATCTCATAGAACGATTTTGTTTCATCATTCTATGTCTTGAATGCTTTTTATTTCATCATTATTCTTCATGAATGATTTTATTTCATTATCATGTAGTGAATTATTTTATTTCATCATTATTTTGGTGAGACAGTCCAATCTTGGGCTTATGTTGACTGGGGTGGAAGCTTTGTCTTTCCTCTTCGACTGTATGATTTTATTTCATCACTTATCTTCATGAATGATTTTATTTTATCACTTATATTCACGAATGATTTTATTTCATCATTCATTGTCTTAAGTGATTTTATTTCATCATTTTAGTCTGTAATAATTTTGTTTCATAATTGCTTTAGAGTGGTCAGTCCAATATCGGGCTTATGGAAATTGAACTTTACTTTGACGTCTCTGGGGACCGTGCCCGATCAAGAGTTGGTTCCCCTTCCCTACCCCGGGTAAAAATCCCATTTGAGGATAATGTATTCAGTGCTCTACCGTATATGCCCTAGAGTTGCTAGATACCGAGAGAGGAAGTATTCTAGGTGTGGCTTCACCTTCCTTGTTTTGAGGTCTTGCCGAGTTTACCATATATCATGGTTCTATACATGAAAATACTATCACACAATTCAATGAAAAGTCAGAGGAAAATCAAAGCGTAAATATACCTCAATTACCAAACAAGCATTATTTTTAAACATGAGACCAATGTCGCATCCCTAGTATTGAATGACCTATATGTGAACATGGTCCACGTAGCAGTTGGTTCGGACGCAACCTGGGTCCTTTCTTTTATGGAGTCTGCGAACACCCGAGACTTTAGTGCTTCTCTAAGCTCGAAGGAGATGTCAAATTCATATATTTCACCAGACCACTTTGTCATTTGTTCTGTGAGATTCGACCTATGAAGAACTTGTTTAAGGGGTTGGTCTGTTTGGAAATGATGGCGTGCGTCAAGAAGTAATGTCGTAGCTTTCTTAAGACTGTCACTAACACTAATGAAATCTTCTCTATCTTCTAGTAGAATCATCTTTATCATTGCTGGTTGATTTATCATTATCATAGCCATTACTATGAGCCTCACCTTCATTGAAGACACTAGTGTCCGGATGAGGGGGTTGCACACCCTCAACATGATCACTAGGTTTTGAATTATTCTCATTATTAACTTTATAAGATTACCATTCTCATTGAAGAAGTTAACATCGTTGGTGTTAGGATCATTATTCTGGACTCACCATTGTCCTTATGCTTTTCTCGAGTAAATTTAGCTTTCTTACATTTTGTGATCAAATGACCAATATTTTTGCAAAATTACAAAAGCTAAGGAGTTTTCATATTCAATTTCAACATAATAGGAATAACCACTCATTTTCACCAACATTTCGTCTCGCAATTGACTAGAAAGAACAACATAAACCATTAATCTAGTTTGACGAGCAAAGCTGCCATTAAACAAGGACTTACTCGTGTTGTCATCCAAACATATGGACGTACCACATTACAAGCAATAACATATATGTTCTTTGACCTCCAATATTATCGAGTCAGTCATATAGAATGCACACTTAGACTTAGTGTTTTGATAGAGAATCCAATTATCTTGGTAAATATTAATACGTAAATACTTAGGAACCCAACTTACATGGTGAATACTTTTTCATATGTAGCTAGAAGATCACCTTACCTTGATCCGTAGGAACCCTACTTTAGGGAAATACTTGGCCTTAAGGCATTTAACAATAAGAGACTTAAGGTTAGCAAAAATTCTACAACCTTACTTATATATCATAGCCTCATTAAATTCCTGCAGAGTCCTAAATCCAATTCCACACTATTTTAGATTTACACCAATTCTCTAACTTGATCTAGTGAAGTTTCCTAGTGGATCCTTTTTTCTCCCACCAAAAGTTACAAATCATTCTCTTCATTTGATTAAAAACTCTCTTAGGGAGGAGAGATGTGTTCATGATATAAGTAGAGATAGCTAGGACCATAACTTTTATGAGTGTACTCTTATATGTAAAAGAAACGAATCTTTCCTTCCAACAACTCAGACTAATTTAGGTTGATTAACAAGAACTTGGATTATAGACTTTAAAATATATTATTAATAGATAAAGTAGAACGAATTCAACTGTTACCCAAAAAAGAAGTAGAATGGATTAATTCAGACACATATTGAAAATCTTAATTCAAACGTACAAATAAAAAAACAATGACAGTTTTGGCTGTTGCACAGAAACACTTATATAATTGGAGGTCTTTATTAGACATTGGTATTCATGGCCATTATGGTGCTGAGGTTCATAGGGCTCATAAATTCGGAGGTTCCATTAAAGATGGCTTCAACAATAAGCCCCAAAGCACGTTGAGTTGGATGAAAAGAGTCCCAAAATGCATACACATCACGATTTGGACATAGGCTTGATAAGGGAGTGCATAGTCCCACTCCATTGAAACGTCCTTGACCACAACAAGCTACCTTTGATGTAACAAAACCTGCTCACGCACCAACAATATATAGATCAGATACATCAGTTATTCAATGAATATTCGTTTATAATAGTGACAAAAGTTGTATGAAAAAAAAACATAAGATCACCAAAGTTTTGAGGGTTGGTGATGAAATCCATGTTCATTTGATAAGCATTGGCAATAATAAACACATCATAGCCGAGTTTGGTGTTGAGATCCTTAGTCATTTCAATTAAAAGTGGGTTGAAAATTTGAGAAGCTTGTTGTAATTCATTTACACACTCTCCATTTATGCTTCTTGTAGCAAGCTGAGATGGAAGACAACCTAAAGGACCAACTCCTGTCACAATCACCCTCCTAGCTCCCAACTCAACCAACCTCTGCATTACAAAACAAAATCTATAACTGATATATTAATGTATGAGTTATGACAGGACCGTTTCTGATGGCATGCAAGATAAACTACAACACATAGCCTCAAAATTGTTCTGTAATTTACACTGAGCCTCCAAAATCTTAAGACGAAACCTAGTTATGACAGATAAATGTATCGCGGATAAACTAGCAGTACTTTGAGTGTTAGAGGGAATCACCATAAGAATATTTCGATACTCAGAGATGATATAGGTGCAGAACTGTGGCACGGTGAATTGACGAGATCTAGCAGAAACTGGAGTGAGAAAATAGTTGTTGACAAAGTCATTACCACCAAGTGTTATAAGTACCAACGATCCATTCACGATTCTATTTGCTTCATCAGCCCCTACTTCTACACTCAATCTTTGTTTGTACTGCTCAAACATTGAAAACTGTTGAAACATTCTTAATATTCCAACCTGCATGCATATAATTGTAGTTTTGTTTCATGTGAATGCTTTAATGCTAGATAGTTACATTAAATAAAAATACTATGTAGTTAGAGTTTGACACATTCACACAGTCTCGTTGGATCGAAATCAAATATCATTTGATTTTGATCCAACGGTCAATGCATGAATGTATGTAAATTAGTGATTTACAAATTGAACGCCGGTGTCATTTAGGATTCCGATTCCGGCTGAAGCAAAATTGGCTCCAAGTAATAGCTTTTGTCCAGTCAATTCAGGACTCAAGTATGGCAATGTGGGTTCAGAAAATCCCATATGCAGGCCTACATCGTAATCATTCATATGTTAGTATATAATGGATTACAATATATTAATGACGATATTGATATGATAAAGGTGAAGTTACATACTCATAAGGTCAGGGAGGTTGAGGCCGTTGGAGAAGCGGCCGGTGGGACGATGAGTTGGATAATCAATGCCATAAGGAGGAGAATCGGCACGTGCCGTGGTTGCTAAATAATTATTGTTGCCATTGTCAACAAGTGAGTCACCAAAAACAAAGAAAGCACGAGTTGTTGCAGCTTCAACTTTCTTTGAAACAACATTGGTGATGGTGAGCAACCCAAAGAAAAGAGTGATGAGGAATACTCTCAAGTTTGTCATAATGAATTGAAGAGATGAATTTTTGGTTGAGAATCACTCTCATGAAGTAGTGCCTTTATATAACCATGTTTAAGTTAGGAATATGAATATGATAGATCTCTAACTTGCTGCATTTTGGTTAAAGGTGAATTCATGTTTTTCTTGGTTTACAATGTCAGGTACATAAATAGGGAAGATTATCAAAATATATTGGTATTTGATTTTACTATATTTGGAATATATAGAATGAACTTGCACGTGCATTACTCTAAGATCCTACCCAAATTAGGAATGAACATATTATGAATTCAATTTAAGAACTTAATTCAGTGCTGTCAAATGAGTATAAACAGCCTAATTTTAGCGCATCAAGCTGTATAATCTTTTCAAGTGTTGACATTATTGTATTGTTTTTTGTACTAGTGATCTACTATACTCCTTAAATCAGAGTATTTTAAATTTAAGAAAATAGATTATGCTACAAGTCATAAGTCAATAAGACAGTTGCTCTTAGTAGAGAATTTTATTATAAGTGATATCATATTATAATTTTACAAGTCAACCATCATTTTAAAAAAGTGTCTGCCATTGTGAAACTGGCAGCAACAAAACGGTTTTGGTAGATGTCAATACTGATTCCGTTATTATTATTTTCTATATAGAAGAATAAGTTATGGTAAATTCACACTATAGTGACTGTAATCAATACCGCGACATTTGTACCGATCAAAATCACAAAAACTTTTACACGATTTTTTTTTCTTAATCGAAAATAGTTGAGAAAAAAAAAAGTCGCATAAAATAAATAGTTGCGATTTAAAATCTCGTCACGTGATTTTTTTTTTTCAACTGAAAACAATTGAGAAAAAAACAGATAACATAAATAATTTAAACAAAATATAAAATGTCAACCTTTTATTTTAATCTAATGGTTGTTGTCTCTTTCTTTCACTAAGTCGCTTTTTTATTTAAAAAAAATTTTACAATATTTTTTAAAATTGTAGAAACTATCAATTACAAAATCCTAGTGATAAAATAATCCATAAATATTGTTGGATATATCCTACTACAATATAGATATCTTTCTACAATTACACCTATAAAATATGGGATTTGGATCCTTTAACTTTCATTTTTTTATCTTTCTTTAACTTTTTCTATATGTCTTTTTTAATTTACTTTATCTGATATATTTTTTTCTCCAAAATCAACATCACTATTTCTTTTATTATCTCTAAAATTTCGTAAAATCATTTTAACTTTCGCACTAAAAAATTAGAAAAATTCTTATCCTAAAATATGCTACATAGATCATTCGTAATAATTTCTTTAACAAAAAATATTCTTAATTTTTGTAGAGATTTAACTGAAGATAACTTTTCTCTATAGTGAAATATTTCAAAAGACAACAAAAGAAATATTTAGAGAGCTAACAATTAGGGTGTACATGGATCGGGTCGGATTGAATTTAGCTAAAATCATGACTCAATTTATATAGGATATATCGGTTTGAGTGAGGTAAAATGATTATATACGACATTATTAAGTTGATTTAGGTAAAACCACAAATTTATAAATTAGATTGGAATGGATAGTGAATTATCCAATTTTTATTCTTTTTTTCTTTTCTTTATATAATTATAAATGATGTGTCACATTTTTTCTTAATAAATAATTTAATCTATTATTGTTATTTTTAAAACCTCAAATTTCTAAATGCACAATAAAATTCATCATAAATATATTTGTAAAAATCAAAATTATATTACGGTAATACTAGTATTGCATAAAATACTTGCATCTAACAAGAATTAACATCAAAATAATCAAAATGTGATATCCTAAATGTATTAAAAGATATTCAAAAAGTTGTAATTGAAACAATCTAGATTAAAGACATCAAAGTCATCACTCATCAAATTATAAAAAATAGCTAAAAAATAGTCGCTCAATAACCCATAAATTTTGTGGATGAAATTTTCATTTTCCATTTTATAGAGTAAAGAAATAATTTATACATTTTCTAAAATACTCTCAAAAACCGAAAATATATTTCAGGTGCGCACACACATACACATAATTCATTTGTTTTTTAAGTTTATCTTATTTTAGAATAAAATTTATTTAAAAAATATATTTTCGGAAATTCTTAAAAAATACATTTCCAATTACTGATTTAATAAGTGACTGCAATATATCTGACAATGCCATTCTTCTGTACATAAGCAAAGAAAAATTCCAACACATAATAATAAATAATTTTTTACGTTAGTTGGCATCCTCAGATATATCTCCTTGCTCCATGAAGCTCTTCTCATGTGTAAAAAAAAAGGAAAAAATCAATTATTTTAATAAAGACTAACAAATTTAATATCATACAGAAGAGTGGCATTGTCACGCATATTAGTCACTTATTGAATCACTAACCGGAAATACATTTTAGGAAATTTTCAGAAATATATTTTTAAAAAAAAATTTATCGTAAAATAGAGTGAATTTAAAAAAATAAATGAATTATATGTGTATATGTGTATTAGAAATATATTTCTGATTTTTAAAAATATTTTTAAAATTTTGTATAGTATATTAGAAAAGTATAGAATAGAAAAAGAAATCTTCTTTGTGAATTGAGTATAAGTTTACTCATAAGTTAATTATTTTAAATGATTTTTCATTTTTAAAAACTGTATTTACTGATTAATACGATCTACTTTAAATCGGTTTGAGTAACTTTGATTGAGTTTGTTGGGTTTATCTAATCCATATATCTGCTCTCAACAAGTACTAAAGAAATAAGAGAATTTGAAAACTCAAAGAGCATTAAAGAGTGTGAAGAAGTGAAGAAGAAAAAACTTTAAAGTTTTTATATGATTTGAGATTTGACTGATGCTCACTACTTATACTAAAAATTACAACTCCGGTCTATGAATGGATGGTCCAAATGGTTTGACTTTTATGGAAACAAACAATCATATGAAAAACAATGGTAGAGAATAGGGATGGACAATTGGTAGCTTTGATTGAAATTGGATAAAAAACTTAAATTAAATATAAACTGTGATTTTATTATTAAAGTTCGATTCTGACCGATAAAATTTAGTTTTTGACGGGTTTGATTTAATCGATTTAATAGATAAATTAAGTGGTTTGGTCGGTTAATATTATTGAAATAAATCTATAAAAATTACTCATATTTTATAAAATTCACAAATATTTATCTTTTAATTTTTTTATAAAAACTATCAAAAATGTAGAATAACTTAAAGAACTATTTTTTATTATTGAAAAAACGTTATTATTACGTTATAAAATTTCAAATATCATTTGATATTAATTTATTCATTATTACACTTTAAATAATAAATTAAATAACACTCAAAATTTTATATTATATATCTTACATTTTTATGAGTATAATCATTAAATTATAAAAATAATAATAATTTGATAATATTATGAAACCTATTTTTATAATACTTCAACTCTAAAGTAATAAAAATATATATAAAATTAATATTTGTTAAATTTGATCGGGTTTGATTTTCAACGAATTTAAAATAATTGTCCGAACTTGATCGAATCAACTCTATAATATCCAAATTAAGTAATCCGATAAATTTGACCCCGATTTGATCCAATCTATTTGTTCAAAAAAGACCATAGATGAATCAGTTTAAATCGAAGGCTCTGGCATACTAGTATTGAATGTTTATTTGATATTCACATCGTTTATTATTTATCTATTTATTCCAATCTTAAAGACAGCTTTCAATGTTTTCAAATTAAAATTAAAATGAATCGTATTAAAATCAAAATTAAAATTAAAATAAAAGATTTTTATATATAATAATGTTATTATAAAATATTATATTTTTATTAAATTAATATAAATAATATTGTGTGTTTATTTGGTCTTCACATCACTTAATCTCATTTCTCTATTCCTTATATAATTAATTGTATTTGAATAAATAACAGATTTTGAATCTTTAACACAATCACAATAATTTTATTAAATTTACCATATACAATAATATTAATATTGTCATAATAACCTAAACCCTATGTTATGCTATGTATGTTAATCGGTGCCAGGCCGGGTCCTAGAGATAGACAAACAAGGCATTTGCCTAGTGCCTCCATTTTTTTATTTACCAATATACTACTACATGTTATGTTATGGGAATGTGTTATTTTAGTCCAATTTTTTTTACATTTTTAATGTCTGTACACTAAATCATTAGTACTTCTTTTTCATTTCCTTCTAATAGGATACTGGTGTATATGCATAGATATTGGTGTAGACTATAAAATTGTCTATCATTTTGTTTTTGAAATTTAAATAAAATAGAAAATACTTAAAATTTAATTGTAAAAAAAATTTAAAAAAATAGTCAAAGATAAATATATAAGTTAATTAAATTAATCATTATTGAAAAAAAAAATTAAATATTAATTAAAAAAATATTTATGCAAAATAGATAAAAATGAAATATATTTCTCAACGTTGATTATATGTATGTTCACACGATACTGGTGTAGTATGCACGCTCTTGTTTTTAAAACATAATTAAAATATTAATAAGAAAAATAAAATTATTTTACTAAAATTGATAATTAATTTAAAAAAAAAACAAATGTAAAAAAAGTATTATTTGTAAAAGAAATGTATAAAGAATATAATAACTTATGCGTTCGCATTGATTTTGAAATTGTTACCCGTACGTTCGCGCGTGCGTTTACACGGTATGGTGTGTTACCTGTGTGTTTTTAGGATACTGATATATTATTTGTGCGTTCGTACGGATATTGATGTATTATTCGTACATCGCAGAGGTACTGATTTGACATTGATTTTTAATTTAAAAATAATATTAAAATCACACATTTAATAAAAATATAAAAATAAAATTATTCATTAAGAAAATATAATAGCAATTGTAAAATTATATTTAGAAATTAAGTTTTCAAGTTTAATACTTTTTCATTTGTGCCATCTTCAATTTAACTATGTTGCTTTA